AACCAACCCAAATGTCCATCAATGATAGACTGGATTAAGAAAATGTGGCACATATACACCATGGAATACTATGCAGCCGTAAGAAAGGATGAGTTTATGTCCTTTGTAGACACATGGATGAAGCTGGAAACCATCATTCTGAGCAAACTAACGCAAGGAGAGAAAACCAAACACCACGTGTTCTCACTCATAGGTGGGAACTGAACAATGAGAACACTTGGATACAGGGTGGGGAACACCACACACCAGGGCCAGTCGTGCGGTGGGGGTAGGGGGAAGGATAGCATTAGGAGATATACCTAATGTAAATGAGGAGTTAATGGGTGCAGCACACCAACATGGCAGATGTATACATATGTAACAAACCTGCACGTTGTGCACATGTACCCTAGAACTTAAAGTATAATAAATAAAAAAAATTAATAATAATAAAAAGAAGAAAGAAAAGAAGTTTAATTAGCTCACATTTCTGCAAGCATGGCTGGGGAGGCCTCAGGGATATTACAATCATGGCAGAAGGTAAAGAGGAAGGAGGCCTGTCTTGCATAGCTGGAGCAAAATAAAGAGAGAGAAGGGGGAGGTGCTACAATCTGATCTTTTGAGAACTCACTCACTATCATGAAAACAGAAGGGGGGAGAATCTGCCCCCATCATTCCATCACTTCCCACCAGGCCCCTTCTCCAACAATGGAGATTACAATTTGACACGAATTTGGGCAGGGACACAAATCCAAACTGTATCAGACACTAAGGCAACTTAATGGGGAAAGGAAAGTATTTTTAAAGAATCATGCCGGGTCAACTGAATATCCATAAGACAAAAATGACCCATGACTCTTACACTTCACTTCCTACACAAAAATTATTCAAAATGGATCATAGAATCATAAAAGCTAAAATTTTAAGGCTTCTAAAAAAATAGAATATCTTCATGACGTTGGAATAGGCAACAATTTAGTAGACAGGACACAAAAATCTGTAACCATAAAAGTAAAAAAAAAGATCATTGCCTTTCATCAAAATTTAAAGCTTCTCTATATCAAAATATATCATTAACAAAATGAAGAGGCAAACCATAGGCTGAGAGACAATATTTACAAAACGTATATCTGACGCCGGGCGCGGTGGCTCAAGCCTGTAATCCCAGCACTTTGGGAGGCCGAGACGGGCGGATCACGAGGTCAGGAGATCGAGACCATCCTGGCGAACACGGTGAAACCCCGTCTCTACTAAAAAATACAAAAAAACTAGCCGGGCGAGGTGGCGGGCGCCTGTAGTCCCAGCTACTCGGGAGGCTGAGGCAGGAGAATGGCGTAAACCCGGGAGGCGGAGCTTGCAGTGAGCTGAGATCCGGCCACTGCACTCCAGCCTGGGCGACAGAGCCAGACTCCATCTAAAAAAAAAAAAAAAAAACAAAACAAAAAAAACCAAAAAAAACCCCAAAATGTATATCTGACAAAAAAAAGTTGTATCCACAATATAAAAAGTACTCCTACATATCAAAAATAAAAATATAAGCACCTCCTACTTTTTCAAATGGGAAAAGACTTGAGCAGGCACTTTATGGAAGAAGCTATTTGAATGGACCAATAAGCATATGAGAAAATGCCCAACATAGTCATCAGGGAAACGAAAACCATAATGAAGTACCACTTCATGCCCACTGGAATGGCCAAAATTAAAAGACTGGCAAAACTAATTGTTGTGAAGGATGTAGAGCAACTAGAATTCCAATTTATTTAAGATGCTAGAATAAAATGGTACAACTACTTTGGAAAATAGTTTTGGCAAGTTCCTATAAAGTTAAACCTGTACCTGTCCTAGAGCCCAGTAATAGCACTAGAGCTATAATAGCTACAGTGAAGAATGAAAAGGATATTCAGAGACGGGATTTTGGCAAAATAAGGATTTTCAGTTTCTGCATGTTTAGCATTCTGTTATTTCCAGTTAATTATAATTTTTGTTCTAAGAACCCTTTGATAAGACTATCTAGCCTGTGGGAAGATTGTCTAGCTAAAGGACAGCAAGACTGTCAGTCTGTTTGCATACATTTCCAGAAAGCTGGGAGAGGAGGATTATGCCCAGAAAGACAAAAAGATCACCTAATTATGGAGGCACACCTGGGGATTTGGATGTATCACCTGGACTACACATTCAGTCACCAAGGTGGTTTGGGCTGAGTTACCTCCTTCTCTTGAATGAAGTTCTCAAAGACAGTGCCGCAGGATTCATTTATTTTCTTCTCTTCTTCTCCTGACTCCAATTCGAATTTTTTGGTCATCTTTTTTTCTGTGGGAGTGACAGGAAAGCACATATATGTATAAAGATGGGAAAAGCAGGTGCAATGAGAAACCCAGAATATCTAAAGAGAAAAGCAATTCCAGACTCAAGGTCATTGCAGCCTGTTGTTCAGCCTCTGACACTCACCTGGAGGTGCTTGAGGGTGAGGTGAGCATGGTGGTTGTCCTCAATCACATTAGTCATATGGGATTTACCACCAACATCTCTGGTTCTTTTGTGTGTAGTTTATTTTGAATCTGTTGCTTTTTATTTTGTCCATTCCCTCTGCTGACGTAACCACTATGCTATCATGGATATCCTTTCCTTAAAGTGAAGCTCTTGGCTAACATTACTTTGCCAGCAATAAAATTCATCCTGTACTTAGTGCTAGGGTAGAGGTAGGCTTCAACTTAGTGTTCAGACACTAAGGCAACTCAATGGGGAAAGGAAAGTATTTTTAAAGAATGATGCCGGGACAACTGCAAGGAAACCTGCCAGTAGAGCCCCAGTATCAAACAGGAGGAAGGAGGGGTGAAGGGAAACAGATTTCTTCAGTGTTGCAATTCTGGGGAAGGACAGGGAGTGTCTGGTCTGACAGGGTAAGCCTCTGACTGAGCTGGATGGTGAGCAGCTAAATTCTGGTCTTCCAAAACTGGTGGTTACATCTTTACTTAGACTTTGGCAACATGGGATGAGAGTCGTTATGAGTAGCTAGAATCTGGGATATGACTTGGGTTCTATTGCACTAAAATTCTAGGTAAAGCCCCAAACAGAAGCAGCTCCCCATCCCGTTCCCCAGCCTTACTCCAGGGTCTTCATATTACTTTCCGGCAGTCCAGAGTGCCTACCAGAATGTGAATTAATTTTCCCATGTAGTATCTGCATTTAAATGAGTAATTTGTTAAAATCAACTAAATCTGAAATGAATGTGGTTGGCGTGGAATGCAGAATAGGTCTGTAGAGGTCCCACTTCTACCTCGACTAGTCTTCTAGGCCTGGAGTAGTCTCCACAAATTCTCTTCTTTTTTCCTTTTATGAACAAGTTCAATGGAGATCGGGGGTACACCTATAGAGTACTTTGTATGATGCAAGCTCTGTGTTGTTGGAAATATTAAAAATATTTACCAAGTGTGAATTCCTTCTGGAAGATGTGGGAATATAGAAGCTCTTAGTATAATGGATTGTGTTGTTCCTATCTGCCCCCCCACCCACATGCGAATGAACATTTCACATTCTAATTAAAGAACTCTTGAAACTTTGAGTTCATCTGTTTCTAGATAATAAGTCTGCACTCCCTACAGGGATTCTAGCATTTGTTCCAGCCATCATGGGCAAACTTGGATCTAATGAGTTTCAGAAGGTATAGGCTTAGACTCTCTTAGATCAGATGCCTGAACTTCAAAAAAGACCCTACCCTTGTTGTCATTTTGCTTTCATAAAAACTCTGGGCACCTTCCATTCAGGTATCTAGCATGTGGCCCATCATCCTTGGTAAGCCCAAGGCCACCTTCCTCAAGTCAAGACCAGACTTCACGGCAGTTTTTTAATGCATTTGTCATAAAAAAAAAAAAAAAAAAAAGCTAGAGTTTCTGTACTCACTTTGCTGTAGCAGGATATTTTCTCGCTCCAACTTCTCATCCTTCTTCCATTTTGCCTTCTGTTTTGACCACTTCTCTTCCATTTCATCATAAATACTGTCCTGGGGAGGTACAAAGGCATCATGAAGAAAAGAGTCCTAAAATGAAGGTAATCTGGAGAGGCTGTAAAACTCAACTCAGGGAGGACTTCTCTTGGCACTGCACAGTGGCCAGGGCCCAGCACCATGTTCTGTGTATCTTCCCTTACCTGGCGCCCTCACTGAGTGGGTCCTCCATGGGTCACTGGTGGGAAGTAAATTCCAGCCCAGCCCAACAGAGAGCTTGTGGAACCCGAAGGTCAAGGGCAAACTATGCACAGTGTTTTCCCCACTAGAACTGAGCCTCCTTTGAAGACAGGTAGAGTTCTCCATGTTGAAGAATCATATGTCAGTTCCCCCTGAATCACAAATCCCTCTTCAATAGCACAAGAAGAAAGGAGGCCGGGCGCGGTGGCTCACACCTGTAATCCTAGCACTTTGGAGGGCAGAGGCATGCAGATCACGAGGTCAAGAGGTCGAGACCATCCTGGCCAACATGGTGAAACCCCATCTCTACTAAAAATACAAAAATTAGCTGGACGTGGTGGCACGCACCTGTAGTCCCAACTACTTGGGAGGCTGAGGCAGAAGAATAGCTTGAACCTAGAAGGCAGAGGTTGCAGTGAGCCGAGATCATGCCACTGCACCAGCCTGTTGACAGAATGAGACTCTGTCTCAAAAAAAAAAAAAAAAAAAAAAAAAGAAGAAGAAGAAAGGAAATGCCTAGTTAATTTGAACACTTACAAAATAAGGGGATGTTTTTCAGAGAATGTCTGCTTTTTTTTCAGCAAATCTAACTTTCTTTTGTGGTTGAGGTTAAATAAGCCTAATCCAATACCAATACTGTTGCTTGGCTCAGACTTCATGAACATGGAACCCTAGAAGGGGGAAGACCCTGGACCTGGATGCTGCTCACAGGGTCCCAGGATGCTGACTGCCTTCTTTTTCAGGTTAGCAGAAGGATTCACACCCGACCTATTCTATTTACCACTCACACATGTTAGGCTGTTCTCTATGATGTTTTCCCTGAATATACCAAGGAGTATCTTAAAAAATGAGTTTTAGACACAGGCTAAAAACTGAAACTGTAAGTGTTAAATAGAACTCCAGGTACTGGTGTTTAACTTTTGATAGAGTGACCAAGTGTCCTTGTCTGTCTGACACTTAGGGGTTTCCTGGGACTCTGGACTCTCAGTGCTAAAACCTGGAAAGTCTCAGGCAAACTAGAACTAGTTGGTCACTATACTTCACAATTAAATAGGAAGAAGGCTTGAGGCTTCAGTCCTTTCCCACCCCGCTGGCCATCTCTTAACTCTCTTCATCTACCTAGTAAGAATCATGCCCTAACTTTATTTTCCTAGGCCTTCATCAAATGAGCTGATTAAATGGATGGGTTTTATTCTAAGATGATGTGAGCACTCCATGCTTTGCTTTTGGCAGTGTGGAGTGATACATTCTTTTTGGATGGCAATTTGGCCAAATATATTAAAGGGCTTAAAAATGTTCATTCCAAAACAAGAACAAACTAACCTCAAAGCTAGGAGAAGAAAAGAAATAACTAAAATCAGAACAGAACTGAATGGAATCAAGATTCAAAAATCCATACAAAGAACCAATGAAACAAAAAGTTGGATCTTTGAAAGGATGTGCAAGACCAATAGCGTGCTAGCTACATTAACAAAGAAAAAAAGGATGATCCAAATAAGCACATTCAGAAAGGACAAACGTGACATTAAAACCAATCCCACAGAAATACAAAAGTTCCTCAGAGACCACCATGAACATCTGTATGCATACAAACAAGAAAATCTACAGGAAATGGATAAATTTCTGGAAATACAACCTCCAAAGATTGAATCAAGAAGCAACTGAAACCCCAAATAGACAATATTGAGTTTTGAAATTGAATCAGTAATAAGAAAACCTAACACACACACACACAAAAACAAATTCTGGGACCAGAAAGATTCACAGCCAAAATCTACCAGAAGTACAAAGAAGAGCTGGTACCAATTCTACTGAAACTATTCCAAAAAAATGAGGAAGAGGGACTCCTCCCTAACTTATTCTATGAAGCCAGCATTATCCTGATACCAAAACCTGGCAAAGACAAAAAAAGAAACTACAGGCCTACAGGCCAACATCCTTATGAAGATAGACTGAAAAAATGCTCAACAAAATACTTGCAAACTGAATCCAGCTACACATGAAAAAGTTAATTCATGGTCAGGCATGGTGGCTCATACCTGTGATCCCAGCACTATGGGAGGTTGAGTCAGGAGAACTGCTTGAGCCCAGGAGTTTGAGCAACATGATGAGACCCCATCTCTACAGAAAAAATAAAAAATAGCTCTATGTAGTAGTCCCAGCTCTTTAGGAGGCTGAGGTGTGAGGATCACTCCAGCCCAGGAGGTTGAGGCTTCAGTGAGCTGTGATTGTGCCACTGCCCTCCAACCCATGTGACAGAATAAGACACTGTCTCAAAAAAAAAAAAAAGTTAATTCACCATGATCAAGTAGGCTTCATTCTCACAATGCAAGGTTGGTTCAACATATGTGGATCCATAAATGTGATTCACCACATAAACAGAGTTAGAAAGAAAACCCATATGATCATCTCAATAGACATGGAGAAAACCTTTGATAAAATCCAACATCCCTTCATGATAAAAACTCTCAGCAAATTAGGTTATCAAAGGAACATACTTCAAAATAATAAGAACCATTTATGACAAACCCACAGCCAACATCCTACTGAATGGGTAAAAGCTGGAAGCATTCCCCTTGAGAACTAGCACAAGACAAGGATGCCCACTCTCACCACTCCTATTCAACATAGTACCGGAAGTACTAGCCAGAGCCATTAGTCAAGAGAAAGAAATAAAAGGCATTCAAATAGGAAAAGAAGAAGTCAAATTTTTTTTCTGTTCACTGATAATATAATTCCATACCTAGAAAACTCTAAAGAATCTGTCAAAATGCTCCTGGAACTGATAACAAGTTCAGTAAAGTTTCAGGATACAAAATCAATGAACAAAAAATCAATAGCATTTCTATACACCAATAATGTCCAAGCTGAGAGTCAAATCAAGAATGTAATCCCATTCAAAATAGACACAAAAAGAATAAAATACCTAAAAATACAGCTAACCAAGGAGGTAAAAGGAGAACTACAAAATGCTGCTGAAAGAAATCAGAGACAACACAAATAAATGGAAAAATATTCCATGCTGATGGATTGGAAGAGTCAATATCATTAAGATGGCCACACTGCTTAAAGCAATTAAGAGATTAAATGCTATTCCTGTCAAACTACCAGCATCATTTTTCACAAAATTAGAAAAAATTATTGTAAAATTCGTATGGAACAAAAAAGAGCCTAAATAGCCAAAGCAATCCTAGGCAAAAAGAACAAAACTGAAGGCATCTCATTACCTGACTTCAAACTATACTATTAATACAAGGCTACAGAGATGGTGGACGGGAGGCAGGACTAGATTGCAGCTCCCACTCGGATGGACAGAGCAGCATGTGGTCTTGCATCATGAACTTTTGCTCCAGAACTACTGCAGGAATAATTCAGGAAAGTCAAGAGAATCCACAGGCCCTCTGAAGGAAGTAGATTGCTCCTGCAGGACCCGGGAGATGCCCCAAATACTGTGAGTGTCCAAACTGTGGAAGTAGGAAAGGGGGATTGTTCACCTCCAAACACACAACCTTACTGGGGAACCTGAAGGTCTAGATCATGAGAGAAGGTTCTGACCTTTTCTGGAGCTGAGTCAATTTAGAGAACCAAGTGAAATACAGGGTTAGAGGAAGTAGTGGGAAAAGCCCTGCGGGCTCTCTGGGTTCCCAGGGAAGCCATTTCTGACTTGTCTCACAGGGCTACCTGGGGAGGACTGCCAGAGGAACTCGGAAAAGATCACAGGTAGAAGGAAAACTCCAGCTGAACTTTGTAACAATTCCAACTGAATAGGAAATCTCCTGGCCAGAACTTGGGGGAAGGCATGAATCTGGTGTGCAGACCCCACAGGCAGGGAAACACAAAAGCACTAGTTGCTTTTGCAGGTGGGAGGCTGGTAGCCTGGGGCAAGTTCTCGGCTCTGTTTGCCCACTGCCTGGAGACAGACTTGGTGCTACTGGGTTGGGGGCATGGTGCAAGTAAGATCAATCTTCTGGGTTTCATGAAAGCTGGGTGAAGTCTGTGACTCCCAGTTTTCCCCCACTTCCCTGACAACCTGCATGACACAGCAGAGGTAGCCATAATCCTCCTGGGAACATAATTCCATTTACCTGGGAACCACACCTCCATCCCCCATAGCAGCTGCAGCAAGACCCGCCCAAGGAGAGTCTGAGCTCAGACATGCCTAGCCCTGTCCCGACCTGATGGTCCTTTCCTACCCACCCTGGTAGCTGAAGACAAAGGGCATATACTCTTGGGAGTTCTAGGGCCCCACCAACTACCTGATCCTCCCCATACTACTACAGCTGGTGCTCTCTTGAAAGTGCCACCTCCTGGCAGGAGGCCAACCAGCACAAAAGCAGTGCATTAAATGACCAAAACTAAGCAACCTCACAGAGTCCATCTCACTCCCCTGCTACCCCTACCAGAGCAGGTGCTGGTATCCACAGCTGAGAGACCCACAGATGGTTCACATCACAGAACTCTGTGCAGACAACCCCCAGTACCAGCCTGGAACCTAGTAGGCCTGCTGGGTGTCTAGATCCTAAAAAGAGATAACAATCACTACAGCTTGAGGTCTCAGGAAGCCACATCCCTAGGAAAAGGGGTAGAGTACTACATCAAGAGAACACCTCATAGGACAAAAGAATTTGAACAACAGCCTTGAGGCCTAGACCTTCCCTCTGACAGAACCTACCCAAATGAGAAGGAACCAGAAAATCAACTCTGGTAATATGACATAACAAGGTTCTTTAACATCCCCCACAAAATCACATTAGCTCACCAGCAGTGGATCTAAACCAAGAAGAAACCCCTGATCTACCTGAAAAAGAATTCAGAAG